TCAGCCTTCCAGCCTGGCCCGGGGCCTCAGCCCGCGGAGGGGTCCTTGCCGGCCAGAAAGCAGCCCTGGGAGAGAGGGAACGCTGGGGGCACCCCTGGGGGTGCGGGAGATGCCAGGCCCCGTGAAGGCGGGGGAGTCACTGACCTGTGGCACTGCAGAGACCCCAGGGCGGAGGGCACCCCCTCTGGCTCCCTCTACCCCTCCTCCTCCAGCAGCTCCCTTGGGCGCCGGGCCTGCTGTCTCCAAGGCTGGCACCTGAAGATCAGACACCGGCTCAGCTCCCCTGCCTGCATCAGCTCCTCCGTCTGCATCAGGCCAGGCCAGGACTGTGCCCTCCCCGGGCCACACCCCGGCCCCACCCTAGCCACACTGGAGGGAGTCCCCCTCCACCCTCACCCCCGTTCTGGAGGTAGGCCAGTCAATTCCTATCAGCAACTACCATGCCCCCAGCCACCACCACCATCCCACGCCGAGCAGCACCGGAGGTGGCAAGGTCTTCCTTACACCAAGGCAAAGGTGCCCTTGGGCCAGCTCCTTGAGCCCAGCTGCCCAGCCGGGGCGGCCAGGATCGGCTCCCCACAGCTGCCACCCCCCTTAGCCTACCGCGATGGTTGGCTTTGCGTCACCACGAGGACCAAAGACAAGTTGCTGGGGTGGGGGGCGCTTATTGTGGCTCACGGTTTTGGAAGGTGCACAGTCCAAGATCAGGCAAGTGCCATGGGTTTGGCCGTCTGGTGAGCCAGGAGGCAGAGGGCAGCCGGGCCGGACCGCACCTCTGTGAACAAGAAGTGCCTTCCAAGAGACAGCCCCGCGGCCTGAGGACGGCCCATGGGGCCCACCCTGGAAACACCAGCATCGGATCAAGCCCCCTCCCCCCCAGCACCGTTCGTTTCTGACTCTGGGGATTGAATCCCCTTCGAACTGTAGCAGCTGGACTTTCTCCTTAGCACGCACTGCCTCTGGGTGCGGGCCTCGTCCCCCCTTTATGAGGGAACACGAGGGTGGAGGAGCTATGTCACACGGCCCACTGGGTGCCACGCTGAGGTTCTGACCCGCATTAGGGCTGCTGGAGGTTCCAGCTTCTCACCGAGTCACTGGACTGCAGACTTGGGCCTGGCACACGCGTTGGGAGTGGAGGACCCCTGGGGAAGGGACCCTGGTTAAATCACGGGAGACTGACTGGAAGGAGGCCGTCAAGATGCGTGCCCGCGGTTGAGGGGGGTGAAACTTTTTGCCCTCGTCAGCTCCTGGGGACACATGAACATGTAGCCCATGGCCCACTCAGTCTCAGGTGGGGGAGGTGCAAAGCAGGACACCTCCCAGCCCCCATCTCCCCTATCCTCCCTCCCCACCCCCCCAGCCTGGCCGGTTGGGACCAAGGAGACATCTGGTGGCCACTAGGAGACCTGCAGTCCTCTGACAGGGAGCCCTGGGTGGAGGGGCCAGGGTATCCCCAGTCTCTAAGGAGCCCCCCCAGGGTCCAAAAGGACGTCACCCCTCCTCGAGCAGAGCTCACAGCTGCCCCAGGCCTCACAGTGGGATGAGAGCTGGTCGTCACGAATTCTGTCCAACCCCAAGACTGGGGGAGAGCCGACCCAGAGGTGCTGGACAGAGGGAGGATCCGATACATCACTGCTGGTGAACAATGAGCCGTCGCCACCCTAATTAAAGATCTCATTACAGCAAACACATCCTGGGCTGAGAATGAATGATGGACAGCCAGAAGGCACCTTGGGGCCAGCAGCCCGGGGCTGCTGCTCCCCCAGAGCTCCCACTCTGAGCTGGGGGACCCTCCCATGAGCCACCCTCCTGTAGTTGGCTCCAGGGCGGCACCAGACAGGAAGGGACTGAGACCAGAGCTGGGGCCACTCGGGGCCCGGGGCCTGGCTGGGGGAGCAAGGGTGGGAAGGAGGCTGCAAGGCCACCGCGAGAGGCACTGGGCTGCCTGGTGTCAGCGGGGCCGAGCTACGGAGAAGGCAGCTCTGTGAGAGCAGAGCACCAAGCGGCAGGGCCTCCGGGCACACCGGCTAGGGGGGCCCGGGCCTGCCAAGGCTGGAGAGGGTGGGTGCAGGGGCCAGGCTGCGACAGCCTGGCTGAGGGTCTGGCTGGCTGCAGGGAGGAGAGGTGGGCCCCTCTGACCAGGCTGGCTTCTGTCCTCCCTCCTTCCGCAGGGCAGGTCCTGGTCACTTGTCACTGCCGCCTCCTGCCTAGGACCACATGAAAAGCTGTGGGCACTGGTTGTCCCCAGCGGCGGGGGGCTGGGCCTGGGACATCTCTTCGCTTCCTCTTCTGGAGATTCCAAGGCCTGTTTGCCCTGGGCCGCACCCCGTTACCCCCAGGGACCAGGAATCCCGGAACCCAGTGTCGGCTCCCTCTGGGGCCACCCATGGCCAGGGCATGAAAGCCTGCTGCAGCGCCCTCAGCCTCTGCCACAGGGGGTGTGGCTTGACCCCAGGGGAGAGAGGCTGGGGAGGGGGTGGGGAGCCCAGGCAGGCAGCGGGGAGGGAGGAAAGGACACTGACAGCAGAACAAATGCGTGTAATTTTATAACCAATCTCAGCGTGTCCATGGGGGGCCGTTTGTGCCTCCACTCAGGACCAATCAGCCTGACAGAGCTATGAGTCTGGCTGAGTGAATGTGAGCGGCTCCCCCCGCCCACCTCTCACTGCCTTCTCATTACCCACCCAGCCCGGCCCGGCCAGGGCACAGGCACGCCGGCAACGGGGAGCCCACCCAAGATGGGGCAGAGCCAGGCTGGAGCCAGGGCCTGGTGGGGACAGGTGAGCTCCCAGCAGGTGCCAAGCTGGTAGGAGCCAGAGGGGACACAGCCCCTGCCCTCAAGGGGCCTGCAGGCTGTAGGAGGGCAGGCCCCAGGGAGGTAGGGGTGGAGAGAGAAGTGGCCAGAGGGCGAGGAGAAAGCAGGACAGGCAGAGAGGGGCAGGGTCTAGGCGAGACCAGGGCCAGCTGGGGAGCGAAACACCCACCCGAGGCGGGGCGGGGAGGGCGGCTGGGGGAGGGGCCGGCCTGCGGTGGGTACTGGACGGCCTTGCTGGGGATCTGGCTCTGGGGATGGCTGTGTGCCCATTAGTCTCTCTAATTGTCAAAAATCTAATTTAGTGTCTGGAGCCCTGGCCGGCCTCGGGTTAAATGGAGGAAGGCAGGCCTCGCCATAAATCTGCCCTCCCAGCCTGGGCTGGCGCTAATTCTGCAGTTAAGTGAGGGGCTGAGGAGGGCAGCAGGATGGGACAGGGAGGGCCCTGGAGAGAGGGCGTCCCTGGGGACCCTACGTGCCAGCCCCAGTGCCGGGTCGCTGCCTGGGGCCGCACTAGACCATCCAGGGGGACCGCCTGAAACATGAGGCCAGGGCATCAGGAGTCTTTCCCGGGGTCAGCCTGGGTGGGACACCTGTGCCAAGTGACGGAACTGCCCCTCCAAGTCCCACGTGCTACCTGCCATGCGCCTTTGCTGAGAGGAAGGGGGCACAGACTCGCATCAGGTGACCAAGTCCCAGGTCACCATCTGCCTTGGGTGGCTGCGATGGGGACCTGTGACATCACAGCAGGTGCGAGGGAGTAAAGGGGCTTTCCTGGGGCGGAGGAACACTCCTCACTGAGCTGCTCAGCTTCTCTGCCCCCGGGCAGTCCCAAGGGGCTCCTGCGGCCTGGGGTGGGGGGCTCTCCGGTCTGGGCATGGAATGACCTCACTCCTCTCAGAGCAGCTAATTGAAAGCATGGGGGGCAGCAGGCACCGCGGGAGGGGCCGGGGGCCCGAGGGCTCCCTGAGAGGCCCGGCTTCCACGGGGAGGAAAACAGTTTCTCCTGGCTTCCGCCCTATCTCAGCAGGCACCCACTCGGCCGCTCCCGCTGCTAACCAAGTGCCTTTAATTAGCAGCCTAATAAAATGCTCTTAATTGGCAAGAGCCAATCAGGAAGAAGAGAAGTCTCCCTCCCCTCAGTCACTCTGAGGGCGGCCTGGCTCTAGGTGTAGAGTGGAGAGGATGCCAGGGCAGGTCTGCCCAGGCCCACCCTACACCCGCCCTCCCGGGAGCAGGGATCTCACACCGGGTTTGAAGCCAAAGACCAGGAATGCTCGGGCCCGGCCTCTACTCAATTCTGTGCGCAGGAGCGTGGATGCTCAGGGACACGGAGTACATGCTAGTGGCCTCAGGGTGGCCTCTGCAGACCCCCACCTCCCTGCCGGCTCAGCGGGCTGCTGCCCGTCCTGTTACGCAGGAGACGGCAGTGGACTCAGGCACTGTCCCCCTCTCTGCCAAGGCTGCTGTGCCGGCGCGCTCACATCCTCCCCGCTCTAGCAGGGAGCGCTCAGCTCCGCGCAGGGAACTCGATGGCGAGCACAGTCGAAGACTGCTTTAATGACCACATGGTCAGCCCATGCGAGACAGCAACGAGACCACAGGGAGCCTGGTCAGACAGCGAGGGCCATTAATCCTGGGAGCCCGCAGGTCTAAAACAAGGGCGGGTCAATTTTGACAAGGGTCTTGCCATGACACAGGAGGAGGAAGAGGCGGCAAAGGGGAGGGGAGAGCCCCTTTCTGTCACTGCCTTCAGCCTCGTGCCCATCTCCCTAGGTCTGGTTCCAGGAGGGAAGGGGCTCACCTGGGACCAGGTGGCCAGTCCCTCTTGTTGGGAGTCTCCTCGTGGATCGCTTCTCACCGTGAGCTCAGCTCTAAGAGGCTGATCCAGCGGGAGGCCGAGGAAACCTCAACCCTCTCACTCACCTAGCAGCAGAGGGAAATTTAAGTTCTGGGCCCAGGATGGGCGGTGGCTGGCTACGGTGCACAGCTCAGAAGGCTTCACTTCTGCTTTGATCTAATCCAACACGAGTGTGGCTGGTACAAGCACCCGAGGAACCCCGACTTCCTCCCGTCTCGCAGCCCTGATTCCCCTCAACCTTGTTTTCTCATGCCAGGTTCACTTGATTTCTGTGTTGGAAAACCTGTCCTTCTGATGTTGGGGCAAAGAGACATGACACTTAGAAAATTCACTTTAATCTTGTATTTGTAATTTAAGTTACTTTTTTCCTGAACAGTTAAAAACAAAACAAAACAGAACACACTCTATGACCATGATCCTAGTTGTGAACATACTGGTACATTGACTACACATCACCATAACATAATCACAAAAGTCAAAGCAACCAGTACTTGCGAACCTAGAGAACAGAGCAGGATGGACCCAGCACTCTCAGGGACGCCCACATCGGTGGCCAGGCCTTGCCCGCAGCTGGAGTCCACTGAACATCGCTCACATCAGCCTGGGCTGGGCTGACTTGGGAAGGTGTTAGCGTCCTTCGTGTCCAGAGGTCTAACCTCCTAGTTGGTCTTTTCCTTCAGCATCCAAGAAGGGGAGGGGTTAGGAGGGGAGCTAACACTTTAAATGCCATTTACCACACCAATCCTTGAGAGCACGCACGCACACGCACAGCCAGTGAGCAGCCAAGGGAAGCCGGCTTGGGTCTTCTGGAAAGCACGTATTTCAGATGTCATCTGCCTCCAGGAACTTAAGATCATCAGCACTCCACTCCCATTCTAGAGATCAACACAGTGGGTTCCACCTGAAATCAGGCGCTTTTGGTTTCTTTCTTCGGCTCCAAAGGACTCTGAAGTCATAAATGAACTATGGGTAACAGGAAGCAAACCTTAGTTTTATTTCCCTAAGAGACGGCTGTCTTTGCGGTTAAAATAAGGGGCTCTGCTCTGCCGGCTGTGTGGAGGCAGCAAGGGAGCTTAGCTTAGCCAGTAATCTTTGGGCACATCTGAAAGTCTGCTGAACACATTCAAATGGGGAAGGTGATCAGAAACGCGGACCTAGGTCAAACGGTAAACCTGATCATCAAAGACTGTGATGGTCACATGGGGCAGGTATCTCAGCATCCCATTTTTCTATCTGTAAGTACCTTGGATTATTCCAGAAGCAAGCTTGTACCTAGCTGGCAGGCCTCACTATTCTGGGCTGGAAGTATCATCATCTATGGGGAAAGGAAGATGCTAAGGTCAACAATACCAAGGTATCTGAGCCAATTTTAGGAAAGAAAACACACCCCTAATTATTGCCAGAATTCTTCAGCCCTCTTTTATTCAAGTCCTTTTATTTCCACCCACAGTCAGGGGCCAAGTGAGCAGCTGATACTGTAAGCCAGCAAGGGAGGCGGCTTGTTTCCTCCTCTGCAGCTCTCGATTATCCGAAAGAAGGGGGGGGGTCCTTACTCAAGCGAAAAGCAGAATGACCGCGAGGCTTCAGTGTCTTTTCCAATTGAGAAACAAGCAATGAGGGCCAGGTGCATCACTTGTCAACAGAATACCAGAGACAGCCTCTGCTTCTGAAGTTAGGAGACATCTGAAAGAATTTCACCCAGGGACAAGTGTAAAAAGTCTCCCATTCATAATTCCTGTGGACTTTCAAACTGCACATAGAAGGTAAGAGAATGTTGTCAGCGGTGACACACACACACACACACACACACACACACGCAGTAAGGCATGCTGGGCATGTCCAAGCAGCCCCAGTGCCAACCAAGGGGGCACGAATGGGGGAAGTTGCACACTGCTCCTCTGCCTCCACAGGGCTTCCCGCCCCACCTTAAGAAAGGCTCACAATGGAAAGTGAATTTCAGCGAAAGCAGACTAATCCTCAATGGGGACACTTCACCTCAGAGCCCCGGTTCCTCCAGCTCCTTCTCTACCATTCCTTTACATGCGGCAAGACCTTCTTTGTTTCCTTTTCTTTTTAAAAAGGTCAAACTTTGCATTTATTCTAGCCCAGTTGGGGATTAGTGATAATCAATTCCCACTGAAATCATGCAGAGATAGTAAGTGGGGTTTACCTTCTCTGGAAATGAACTTCCACTTACCTGATTGTTTCTTCTACAATGAACTGGTAAATGACCCCCCGAGCTGAGAAATGTGAACACTCCAAGTTTTTCAGACCACTTCACTTCACTCCCATTTCCATCAGCAACAGAGACGACGACTCAGAGAACACCCTCGCCCGAGCCAACGGCTCATCTCTGCGGGGTCCACCCTTGAGCTCGTGTCCCAGGCTGGGACAAGGCTCACAACAGTCTGCGCAACAAAACACCTTCAACTGAGCCTGGGTGGGAGAGCAAAATCCAGGGTACCAACGATCGGCCAAGGGCGCCCAATTTGAAGCAGCAGCGTATAGCAGAGGGGTGAGATGATATTTTGAAACAGCCCGAGAACCATGCCCCTTTAATGTCTGACCTGTGTGTTTCCCAGAGCTGACAGCCTTCATCTGCAGCAAAATTCTTAGCCAATCAAAAAGCCAGGAAGAGTCGACACAACACACAAGGAACCCTAATAGTGGCTAAGTAGAAAACAATTCTCTGCAGCATTTGGCTTGCTGGGAAGGGAATTAGAAAATATTTTCCTAGCAACAACATACCATTATACTGGAAAATATTTCTGGAGAGAACATGGATCTAAAATGTAAAAGCACTCGTAAAGCTGATAAGGAAAAATGCATATGTATAACCTGCCTCTCAATACACAATAACAAAATTCCGCCTGGAAAGAGGGTGCCTTCTTGCAGATCAGCGGGAAGAGTGAAGATGCGTCCCTCCTCCTCCCTCTTGAAACTAAAGGGTGCCTGGCTACAGGTCACTTGGAGCTGGCTCCTACTTTGCTGTTTTTATAGCAGCTGGTTAGAAAGTGGCTTTCTTAAACTCAACTGCATTAAGAATGGGAACAACGGGCCTCACTACCCAGCTTCCAAAGGAAACCGGAGACCAGACTGGGGCCTCTGGGCCTTTGGCACCCATGGTGGCTCATGCGTGAGGAAGGAATCTGGGCTCGCAGTGAACAGTATCCCCTGGGCTCTCGGCGTGGTGAGGCACATGTGCCCTTACATTCGTGGACGCCCAGAAGCTGACTTGTGCATGGCCAGGTCAGCCCGGCCCTTGCCGAGGTCCATTTGTTTATGTTGTTCACTGACTGCCAGAGAATTTTCACTGGCTGGGGAAAAGTGGAGAGCAAATTAAGGCCAGGAGGAAGAAGAAATGAAAGAGAACGCAGTTTCTGCCCCATCAATAGACCCTGTGTGCCAAACTTCACCCTGATCCTCTCTCTGGCAGCTCCACCCTTTTGCAGAAACCAGGCTTGGGAGAAGCAGAAGGCAGGCTCTGCAGTGCAAGGTGCACAGGGTCAGATCTGTGTTCAGAAGTGGTATTTACTGGCCTAAACGATAAAGCAACCAGCTTTTATCCCTGACCATCTCCTCAGCCAGTCCAACTGCGGCTTGGTAAAGGCCCAGGTGCCCGGATGCTCCCGGGCTCTGACAAGGAATCAGAGATGGGAATCATTATGCAGAACGCGCTGAGTGATGGCTCTGGCCATTCCAAACCCTTCTGTAGGCTGAGCCCTACTAGTGATTTAAGATGAAGTGCAATGCTTTTTATTCCACATCTAATTGGTAATGAGAGGAAATGCAATCAGCAGCTCCGTTCCACACTCTACATGGAGTCAAGGAGACTGCTGAGTCCAGGAAAGACGCAGCCACTGATGGAGTCCAGGCACTGCTGCCCCACCCCCACCCCCTTTCTGGGTCGGGGGAAGAAGGAGAAGAGAACAGAGTTGTAAAGAGGATGGCAGCATCAGGTAGGAGAATCCAGTGTCACCACAGGGCCACCTGCAGCAAAGACTGTTTGAAATTGTGACTAATAGCACTGAACTCTGTCATGGTCGCATTTCCTAGCTGGGCTGGCGCGTGCCAACCGAGGACACTCCTCTTCACACACTCTCTTCTCAGGCTGGGGAGAGCACCGGCTGAAGGTGCTGGGGGCGGCAGGGAGGAGGAGAGACGCACACGAGACACAGAGGGAGGCAGGAGGCCCGATCTTCCAGGGTGTTCGTTCTTGTCTTCTCTATTTGCCTGGAGGCGACACAGAGAGCTCTGTCTGCTCGGCGCAGCGGGGCCGGGTGTCGGGCTTTCCTGCAGCTAACCAGGAGGCACTGGGTGCTGACGGCCTGCACCCCTGTCCCCAAGAAATGGGTCTCTCCCAGTAGGCTACAGAGTGAAATTAGTTCTTCTGCTTAATGGCAAAGCAAGAGAGATTCTGGCAAAACACTAAATATATTTATAAGTCATCTTTGTCTGGAACCAAATGGGGAAAAAACAGGTGCAGGGGGAAAGGAGGAGGGGCGGGAGGTTGAAACGTTCGATCATTCACAAAGAAAGGAGACATCTTCCAATAGCAGCACTGGAGCAGGCAGCTGCGCGGAGGAGACTGGCCCGGGCCGACTGCAGACCAACTGTGTCCCAGCAGGAGTCGCGCAGCCCCGCTCCTCGGCTAGTCCGGGAAACCGGGAAGTATTTTGATTTTACTGTTGTTCCTCGTCCTGGTATTGGCAGATATGTTAAATACCGCAACTTTAATGAGTCCTGTGTGAAAACAGAGCAAACAGGCATTGGTCCCTTTCCCCATATTTCTCACTTGCTCTAGGAGGGAAAGAATATTCACTTAGCTGTCAATTGGGAGAAAGGCTGGGGTTCCTTCCTAATATCCACCCAGGAGCTTCTGTCAGAGGCTACTAAGGACGACAAAAGGCGAGAGTCGCTATGACACGCTCAGGGCCATGGTGCTCAAGCAGGGGTCCCTGATGTCTTGTGGCTGCCAGTGCTCACGACTCGTGTAGCGTCAAACTTTTGACAGGCAGGGTGGACAGTGAGAGAGAGAGACAGAGAGAAAGGTCTTCCCTTTCTGTTGGCACTGTAACTTTCAAGGAATTATTCTGTTTCACATAGGCGATTAAACTGCGGGCATCAAGAGTTGTGCACAGTATTTCCTCTATTATCCCCCCCCTTTTTTTTTTTTGGACAGGCAGAGTTAGACAGTGAGAGAGAGAGAGAGAGAGAGAGAAAGGTCTTCCTTTTCCATTGGTTCACCCCCCAATGGCCACTGTGGCCGGCACACAGCGCCGATCTGAAGCCAGGAGCTAGGCACTTCCTCCTGGTCTCCCATGCGGGTGCAGGACCCAAGCACTTGGGCCATCCTCCACTGCCTTCCCGGGCCACAGCAGAGAGCTGGATTGGAAGAGGAGCAACCGAGACAGAATTCCGCGCCCCAACTGGGACTAGAACCCGGGGTGCCGATGCTGCAGGAGGAGGATTAGCCAAGTGAGCCGCGGCGCCGGCCTGTAGTGTCAAACTTTTACCTGCTCCCTAGAATGGCAGAGCAGGCAGGGGTGGCTCTGAGACTAGTGGCATAGCTGGGAACACAGCAGTGCCATTAACACACAGGGAGACACAAAGCCAGCCTGACAGTTTGGCTGCAGAGTCCTGGTGGTGGCAGTGAAGGGGACGAGCACCAGACGTGCTCCTGGTGCCTCCAAGGACAGATGTGCAGGTGGTGGCTGGCTGAAAAGGTATCCGGAGGTTAAGGCACAGGTGGGGACTGGAGACAGAAATTTGAGAGTCATCGATATTGCAATGTGAGCTGAAGCCCTGGGAGTTGATCATGGAGCCAGAGGGGAGCAAAGGTGAGGAGAAAGAGCCCAAGACGGGCTCTTAGGGGTATCTGCGTTTTAGGGATGAGAGAGGGAGACATGAACACTTCGAGAGCTGGAGAGACTGACAGGGGCAAGATGCCATGCGAATCTAAGGCAGAGGTGCTGCTGGCACAAGGAGGGGTAGGCACATGTCGACCGCAGCATCGGGAATCATGACCATGTTTTAGAGGGCGCGCGGCCCTTTGGGAGCCCTGCGAGGTGGATCCACGGCCCTCTTGACTCATCAGGAAGCGACTTGTCTCCAGCAAGAGGGGTGCTGTCCTCAGGGAGAGCCTGGCCAGGTGTGAAGCCACCCCTCCGAAGGAGCAGGCGTGCAGTGATGCGTGCAGGATGTGAGAAGGCAGGCTGGCAGCACGGCTCCTCAGCGGCTGCGGTGGCGGCCCCGGGCCTCCCAGGTGTCGGGATCTTTCCCGCCTCCGAGAGCTGCAGACCAAGGTGGTGCTCTCGCTCAGAGCTCCTCCCAGGTCCAAGAGAGGTCGTCTCCGTTTGCGAGAAGGCAAGGAGTGAGGGAGGATTTTAAAATCTACCTTTTCTAACTGAGTGACACTAACAAGGCAGAGCTCTGAGATGTCAGTGGGAAATTTCACCAAGAGATGCTGCCTTCCACACGTGAGTTATCAAACTGACTTGAAAGGTCTCACTGTAGGCACATGTTTGACCTGGGAACTAGAAAATCACAGACTTTTGGTTATAACTTAGTTTTCAACCTAATTCAAATCTCGCTTTATTTTATAATAATCCTACCGGGGCAGGAACAGTTAATTCTACCACACAAGTGGGACCCTAGAATTACCACAACTGAGGCTGGCTACCTCGGTGAACAGCATTGTCTCCATCTTGCCTCTATTTCTCTGCTTTACAGAATTTGGTAAGATACAGGATGTGACAAGGTGTCACAAAATTAGCAGCTCCTTCCAGAAAGAGTCTGTCACTTAACCATAGTCCTCTCCTACCCAGGATATTCCATCTCCTCCCTCTGTATGCAATTCTTTTTCATACCTGGGCAAGTACGAGGTCAGTGTATGCATATTTATCTGGAGATGTAGGTGTATGTTCGAGAAGGGGAACGCGGAGGTTCAGCTTGGGCAGCTGGATCATTTAGAAAGTCCCAGATGAGGATGGTGTCATCATGTGAACTACTGACAATCTGGAATTCATCAAACTGGAGTCGGAAGACTCTTCCAGAATGCTCCTAAAGGAACACAAACACAAAGGGTAAGCATGTGACCTACTCAAAACCAAACGGACACAAACTCCCCAGCATGTCAAAAGGAGTCCCTGGAGTGCTGGGAATCTCCACTCTACACTTAGTCATTGCAAAATGAGAAAAACTGAATCTGGCTGAAGGCACATTGGGAAGTCAAATACTGGTCAGCCAATTCCATGAACAAAACAGACACAGGAACATCCTCTCGTTGAGACATGTTAAAGAGTAGCTAGTTTCTCTCTGCCAAGCTCCTCACCTTAGGATGGCTAAGAATACCCCCTGTACCTCCATGGCCTTGTTCTTTTTGTGTCTCTGAACTACAGAGGCCAAGGGTTAGAATAACGATAAGTGGTGTGCTGGCCAATGTCTATCAGCCATACTGCTAATTCATAAAACCATTTTCGTGGCATAGAAAGTAGTACTATGTCCCGTTTCAAGTTATCTGCGTGTGGTCAAGCGGTTTGGAAAATTCACGAAAATGACAGGAGTGTTCCAGCACAACACTGACAGAAACCAGCACCCCAACCAAGAAGCAGAGCATTTCCTGCATCCTGAAATATCTCTGGCCCCTACCAGCTGACACTAGCTTCACTCCAAACCTACCATTAATTTGTTTGGACTGTTCTTGAATTCCATATAAATAGACATGCACAGACTATATTCTCTCTTGAAGGCTTCTTTCATCGGACACTGTATCTACAAGATTCCACCCTATTATTATATCTACAAAACTGTAGTCTACTTTCTTTGTATTACTGGATGATATTCCACCATACAGAGTACTACAATTGATCTATTATTCTCTTGCTGGTGGACATACACGTTCTGATTACAGTTTATGGCTATCGTAAGTAAAGCTGCTACGAACATTTTTGCACATGTTTTTTGAGGGATACATGTACTCATTTCTCCTAGGAGTACAACTGCTGGCCATGGAGTAGGTACATGTTTACTTTGATAGATGCCATTATGAAAGTTTTTGAAAAGCTGTGCCAGTTTATTTACACTCACACCAGCAGTATAAGAGTTCCAGTTGCTCCACATTCTTACCAACAACTAACACTGTCAATAAAAAGCATTTATATGGCAAGTTTTAGTGGTATTTTATTAGATCCCTTCTATTCCTGGTTTTCTGTTGTTGTTTCTTCCTCTTAATTTGAAAGGTACAGTGACAGAGGAAGAGGCAGAGACAGAAAGAGATACCTGAGGCTGGCGCTGTGGTGTAGCGGGTAAAGCTGCTGCCTGCGGTGCCGGCACCCCATGGGCACTGGTTTGAGTCCCGGCTGCTCCACTTCTGATCCAGCTCTCTGCTGTGGCCTGGGAAAGCAGCAGAAGATGGCCCAAGTCTGTGGGACCCTGCACCAGTGTGGGAGGTCTGGAGGAAGCTCCTGGCTCCTGATTGGTGCAGCTCTGGCTGTTTCAGTCATCTGGGGAGTGAACCAGCAGATGGAAGACCCCTCTCTCTCTCTGTCTCTCTGTAACTCTGCCTTTCAAATAAATAAATCTTAAAAAAAAAATAAAAAATAGGTATCTTCCATCTGCTGATTCACTCCCAAAAGGTCTCAACGGCTAGGGTTGGGTCTGACTGAAGCCAGAGGCCCGTAACTCCATCTGCATCTCCTACAAGGGAGGCAGGAGCCCAAGTACTTGCATCATCACCTGCTGCTTTCCCAAGTGCATTAGCAGGGAGCTGGAATGTTAAGTGGAGCAGCTGAGACTTGAACTGGCGCTCTAATACGGGATGCTAGTGTTGCAAGTGGCAGCTTAAGCTGCTGCATCCCAAGGCTACTCCCTTGCTCAGAGTTTTATCATGAATGGGTGTTGCAACACTTTTACTGCATCTACTCATGTGCTCATGTGATTTTTCTTCTTTAGCCTGTCAATGTGGTAGATTACATTATTAGATTTTTTTAATGTTAAAAGCAGCTTTGCATATTGTACCTAGATAAATGTTATCTGATCATAGTGTACCATTCTCTTTATACATTTTTATTTTGTATTTCAGATAAGTCTTTAAAAATAATTTTAAAAAGTTTTATTTATTTATTTATTTGAGAGGCAGTTTGATAGAGAGAGAGTGAGTGAGAGAGAAGGAGAGACAGAGAAAGAGGTAACTGCTATCTGCAAAGGCCAAAGCCAGCAGCCAGGAACTCCAAGTTCCTGGGCTCTCTTCTGCAGTCTTCCAGGTGCATTCACAGGAAGTTGGATGGGAAGTAGAGATGGGACTCAATCCCAAGCAACAACTTAACCCACTGCACCACAGTGCTTACCCCGTTTTACATTCAAGATCTAAAGGCGCTCAAACATGAGCACCTATGTTTGTGAGAAATACTGGTCTGTACCAAGTTGTTCTTGTGGTACCTTTGCCTGGTGTGGGAATTAGGGTAATGCTGGCTCCACAGTGTGGGTTAGGAAACATTTTTTTTTTAATTTTTTTTATTATTTTTTGACAGGCAGAGTGGACAGAGAGAGAGAGAGACAGAGAAAGGTCTTCCTTTGCCGTTGGTTCACCCTCCAATGGCCGCTGCAGCCGGCGCACCGCGCTGATCCGATGGCAGGAGCCAGGTACTTATCCTGGCCTCCCATGTGGGTGCAGGGCCCAAGTACTTGGGCCATCCTCCACTGCACTCCCGGGCCACAGCAGAGAGCTGGCCTGGAAGAGGGGCAACTGGGACAGAATCCGGCGCCCCGACCGGGACTAGAACCTGGTGTGCCGGCGCCGCTAGGCGGAGGATCAGCCTAGTGAGCCGCGGCGCCGGCCAGGTTAGGAAACATTCTGTCTCCTTTTATCCTAAAGAAGAAATTAGAAAATGGGTGAAATTTCTGTCTTAAATGGGGCCTGGTCTCAAAATGTTTTAGAAGGCTGCTACCTACTGATTCAGTTTCTTTAATAAATACAGGCCTGTTCAGATTATCTACCGCTTTATGTGTGAACTGTGGCACTGTAACTTTCAAGGAATTATTCTGTTTCACATAGGCGATTAAACTGCGGGCATCAAGAGCTGTGCACAGTATTTCCTCTATTATCCTTTTTTTTTTTTTTTTAATTTTTTGGACAGGCAGAGTTAGACAGTGAGAGAGAGAGAGAAACAGAGAGAAAGGTCTTCCTTTTCCATTGGTTCACCCCTCAATGGCCACTGTGGCCGGTGCACTGCGCTGATCTGAAGCCAGGAGCCAGGTGCTTCCTCCTGGTCTGCCATGTGGGTGCAGGGCCCAAGCACTTGGGCCATCCTCCACTGCACTCCCGGGCCACAGCAGAGAACTGGACTGGAAGAGGAACAACTGGGACAGAATCCGGCGCCCCAACCGGGACTAGAACCCGGTGTGCCAGCGCCACAAACGGAGGATTAGTCAAGTGAGCCACGGCGCCGGCCTCCTCTATTATCCTTTAAATGTTCATGAAATCTGTGGCGATGCCCTTTCACTGCTGATACTGTAATTTTGTTTAATCTCTCTTTTCCTTATCCTGGCTAAAGGCTTATCAATTTTATTGATATTTTTAAAGAAAACCAGCTTTTTGGTTAATTTATTTATTTGACAGGCACGTGCGCACACACACACACACACACACACACACACTCACAGAGATAGAGAGACAAAGTTTCCATCTGCTGGTTCTCTGCACAAATGCTTGCAACGGCCAGGGCTGGGCCTGGGGGCAAGGTTGGAATCAGGGAACCTAATACAGGTCTTTCCTGTGGATGGTAGGAACCCAATTACAAGAGTCCAATCCAGGCACTACGATGTAGGATTTGAGTATCTTAACTGCTTGGCTAAATGGCCACTCTCCCAGCTCTGGTCTTACTGATTTTCTTGCCTATTTCATAGATTTCTGCTCTAATTTTTTTCATTTCTTTTCTTCTGCTTACTTTGGATTTAATTTGATCTTCTAGTTTACTCAAGTAGAAACTTTATTGATTTCACAGCTTTCTTCTCTAATACATGCATTCAATGCTATAAATTTCCCTACATCCCACAATTTTTAAATAAGCCATATTTTCATTTTCATTTGGTTCAAAATATTTTTAAAGATCTATTTATTTATTTGAAAATCAGAGTTACAGAGAGGAGAGGCAGAGAGAGAGAGGTCTTCCATTTGCTGGTTCACTCCCCAATTGGCTGCAATACCCGAGCTGCGCCGATCTGAAGCCAGGAGCCAGGAGCTTCTTCCGGGTCTCCCACATGGGCGCAGGGGCCCGAGGACTTGGGCCATCTTCTACTGCTTTCCCAGGCTATAGCAGAGAACTGGATTGGAAGTAGAGCTGCCAGGTCTTGAACCGGTGCCCATATGGGATGCCAGTGCATCAGGCCAGGGCGTTAACCTGCTGTGCCACAGCACTAGCCCTTCAAAATACTTTTCAATTTCTCTTCAGAGTTCTCTGACCCATATGTAACTCAGAAGGATGCTGTTTAATCTCCACGGATGCTCTGGCATTTTGCAACTATTTCTATTTTCCTGTTATTGATTTCTAGTTTCATTCCATTGTGGTCACTGTGATCTGAGAACCCATCTTCACCCCTGATAAGAGTCCTTATTCTGAAGTCTGCTCTCTGAAATTAATACAGCTATTCCAGCTTTCTCCAGATTAGCATTAGCATGGCATATTAGTTTGCTAGAGCTATTATAATAAATCACCACACATTAGGCGGCTTAGCAACAGAAAATTTTTCCTCACAGTGTGGAGGCTAAAAGTTCAAGATTCAAGGTGCTGGTAGGTTAGGTTTCATTCTGAGCCGTTTCCTCTTGGCTTGTAGATGGCTGTCTTTTCCTTTATTTTTACATGGTCTTCCCTCTGTGTGTGTCCTAATCTCTTCTTCTTCTTCTTCTTCTTCTTCTTCTTCTTCTTCTTCTTCTTTTTTTTTTTTTTGACAGGCAGAGTGGACAGTGAGAGAGAGACAGAGAGAAAGGTCTTCCTTTGCCGTTGGTTCACCCTCCAATGGCCGCTGCAGCCGGCGCACCGCGCTGATCCGATGGCAGGAGCCAG